GCCGGCTGATGTTCCAGCGCAGCACCTTCAGCGAGTGGAGCTCTTGTTGTTGTTTGGCTCATTTGTGGTTCTTCTTGTTGTTGGGCTGTAGCTGATTGTATGACAGGGGCCCACCTCCTCAACACCCTGCCACCGACGTCCAGCGCCGGCTCCAGACGTACCCTGACGATCTCCAGGCAGCGACCCTAAACATAAATTATTAAACTCCATTTTCTCCATTTTCGTGGGTGTGCATTTTATACCTACTGTCAGGTGTCAGTTTTTGTTCCACGGCAGGTATCCCTGCTACTCTCTGCGTATCGGTTCTAAGAATACCCAGAGAGCATCCCTCATTCGCAGGGGCCTCGCCTGATAGAAGAACTGACAAAAACTCCCACAGAGAGTTATTATTATTATCCAGATTTAGCCATACGGCTCACATTCCCTCTAAGGGAAAATTCACTCATCCCAAATACCTAAGGTATCAAAAGGATTGAGCTCTGGTGGGACTCTTTCCATGTTATCGACCACTAGAATGACTTGGTATGTTGGAGTGTTATTATTATTATTTGGTTAATAATAGTAGAAATTCCGTAGGTAGGTACATAGTGAAAAATGACCAAAAAAATATTGAAACCCATCTTTGGTTAGGTTAGCTTTCGAAACAATTTTAATCCTTCAACTGACGTTCTACTATGTTAGTTTTGTTTCTAAGTGTCACATTGATCAGTTCCTATCATTTGTATTTGACTGCCATTATAAGGATCGTGACTTAAAAATGGCGTTTGTTGTTAACAATTCGTCCAAAAATCAGCAGCGTTCTTTAATTTTGATGTACTAAAGGTTTGCAACCATTGCGAATTAATACGCGAATGCAAACAGTGTATGGAAACGCATATTTTGCGTATCTAACTGCCAAGGAATGATTCGAAAATTTAAGAGTGGAAGAGAGGAGACGACTGATAATCAACGATCAGTTGCTTTGAGTATTGTATCAATAGATAAGAATGTACCATGTGAGGAAGGCTTGATTAGAAAAAATAGTCGAATATCAATCAGAGCAATTTTTGAAAACTGTCCATAGTATCGTACACAAACTGGTTTACAGCAAGGTTTGTGCGCAATGGGTTCCTCGTCTTTTGTCAGTGGACCAAAAAAGTTGGCGTATGGATTTATATTTGCGACATCTCAAGAAATACAGCAAAACGATGTCTTTCTTTCGTCAATAATTGCTGGCGACGAATTTTGGTGTCATTTTTTGACCCATCGAGTAGGCAAGTCGTTCCAGGAGCGCAACTCAACAATATTGGCAATATCATTTTAAAGTCGTCTACTTTAAAAAAATGTATAATGTGTGTCTGAATTGTCAATATAAATGAGTCAGATAAAATTAAATTATTAGAAGTATTTTTCACTAAGTAACGAAAAAACAAAATTTCTTGTAATTTACTAATTGTTTGTATTTTGAGAACGATTTCCGAAGTGGAAATTGAAACGTCAATAAACGTACTTTAACCTTTACTTGTGGCTTATTACCATTTAAATAGTAATTACTTTAAAATGCAACCAGAAAATAACTTCAGAACAACACAAATTAATAGCGAGGAATCTCCAAAAATATTAAAATCTGAAGTCCAACATGCTATAAAGAACCCAAAATCTGGCAGAGCTCCGGGCCAGATAAAGTTCACATGTAGCTGATTACACTCATAGATGAAGACAATTTAAGCGCAGTAACTACAATACATGCAAATCAAAATACATGCAAATGAGATACCTACATAATGGCTACTATCAACCTGTGTTCCGCTACCAAAAACCAAGAATCCCAAACACTGTAATGATTATAGATTAACCGGCTTAATCTCACAATTATTGAAAAGATTTTTAAAGGTTACACTTGCCAGAACATTAAGAAAGTGTGAGGCAAATACGAGTAATAGACAGTTTGGTTTTCATAATGGCTTCGGAACAGTAGAAGCTCTGTATAGTTTCACAACTCCTGCTTAAAAATGTTGAGACCAACAAAAAGATCTTTTCGTCACATTTATAGACTATGAGAAAGCTTTCGAGAAAGTTAAACATAACATTCTCATGGAATGTGCAAAGCGAAAAGGACTCGGCAAAAATGATATTAACATAGTGAGAAATATCTATTGGAACCAACAGACTGTGGTAACATTAGATGGGAATAGCACGAATGCGGAACAGATAAGAAAGGTGTGAGACAAGGCGGCTTACTTTCACCATTACTCTTTAATATATAATCCGAAGACTTACTTACATAAGCACTTGAAATCAGTACAGAAGGGATCAAGATAAATGATGAACGCTACTAAACACAATTTGTGATGCTGGGGAACAGTTTGGCTTAGCAATGAATATATAGAAAACAAAACCATGGTTATTAAAATATTGAACAAGTGGACAAAATGAAGTACTTAGGAGTCTCGATTACTGAAGATCTAAATCCAAAATCAGAAATTTTATCAAGAATAAAAGAATCAAGAATCTTTTTGATGATGAGGAATTCTGAGTAACCAAACACTCAATGTGCAAATCCGATATTGGATGGTACAGTGTTATATCCACTCTATAATGGTGCCATGTGTGGTATCCACTTTTTATGGTGCCGAAGATTGGACTGTTAATGTTGATTTAATGAGAAAGCTAGAAGCTTTTGAGATGTGGATTTCTGGAAGAATTTTGAAAACACCATACGCCGATCATGTTACAAACGAAATGATTTTGCATAGAATGGGAAGACAGGAAACTTTTGACCATATTTAAAAGGGGAAAGATAGCACATTTGGGGCACATATTTAGAAATGAGTAGTACCAATTGTTGCAGCTGATTATGAAGATTATGAAGGGTTAAATGGAAGGAAAAAGGGTTCTCGTGGACGACAAAAATATCCTGGCTAAAAAACATTCGCGACTGGACCGGGCTGAATACCCACACGCTTTTAAGAAAAGCAGCAGATAGAGACAAATTTGCAATATTTATAGCCAACCTTCATTAGTGGAATTGGTACTAGTAGAAGAAGAAGATCATTTGATCTCTTCTTGTCCATGATTTAATATTCCAGCTTACTAATCGTAACTTGGTATTCTTTCTCGTAGTTCTTTTCCTTGTTAAGGTCGTTTTCAAATGCTTCTCTGTATTCGAGGCTTCGGATCGGTTGTATGAGCGTGTTTCTTGTTTACAGTGCCAATTGCTGGTTTGACCTTCTAACCCCCTTTTTTATCCATAGCATAAATAGCAGAAATAATAATAGAAAACAGAAGGAAAAGTTTTAAAAGGACATTGAAAAATTATAATACATAAAACATATTTATTTGCAGCACTAACGTTTAATAAATATCTTAGACGTTTATATGTACAAATTATTAATAAATTATAAATAAATATTCATGTCATTTAGCATTTGATCTTGACTAGTTTTCCTCAACTAAATTAAATAACATGAACATTACAGCCTAGTTAACCAAAAGGTGAAATATCATGATTACCATTTCATAAAGAAATAGTAACCAACTCATTTATAATAAAATTTACCAACTTTCAAGACAATTTGGTACTTTTATTTTTACTTGACACTGAAGTTTCAACAGATGATAAATTGGCAAATTTAGATTTTATAATAGAAATGAAGTTTAAACAAAATTTACATTAAGGCTTATTCATTGTTTATATAAAAATCCGAGTTATCAAAACTAAACTGACTAAACCTATATTAGACTATTGTCAAATTTTTTGGCCCGGTATAAAATATATGATTATATTTACCTAATATTAGCAAGTACTAAGTCAGAGCCTAGTAAAATTTACTAAACAATACAGTTTTTGACCACTTTCTTTATTTTAATCCATATTTTTTATATAAAATAAATGAATTCAAAATAGTTGAAAATGGCAGAAACGTTATCTAGCAACTGGGTGCATGGTATAATTAATGTGCATGATGCTTCGAAGGAAAAAGGGTGAAAGGCAATAAACTTTGACAGACAATTATGGTCCCAGGTTTCAGGGAAAGGATTAAAAGTCTATTATTTATAATACATAGGAAACTGCTTTGTAATAAAATATGATTATGTGTATCGGATCTTGGAACATCAATGCATCAAGAAGCAAACGAAGCGTTAGGTTTAAAAAAGTAGAGTGAAAAAACTACTGAGTAATAAAATATGATTAGATGCATTGGAACTGTAAATGACATTACATCAAGCAATATACAAAGCCTTCGGGTTAAAAAATAACAGTAAACAATAAAATTTGGTAAGTACCAGAGATATAGATGGGATTTAAAGATAAGAGCAAAGCGTACCAACTATAATCGATATTTCAGAAAATTTGTATAAATACGAACAAGAGAAAGCGAAGGTGTCGAATGAAATATGTAGGGGAGAGTGTTCCACAATTAGACATGTTCCACAATCAGACAAAGCATGGAAATTCCCGCCGTAAGTTTGACGTTTTTCGTTCGGATAGTGAGGTTATACACGCCAATGTGGTAAACAAAGTTTGAACGCTGTTCTCTTGGTTTTGTGCATTTTTTAATAAAAAATCGTTTTTCAAGGTAAGTTTTTTCTACCGTTGATATGCTATTATATGCTTTAATTTTTCTTCTGAAACTAGTATTACAAAAACAACCTTTACATCAGATTTTGGGCTATTTTGTCGGCATTTTATAAGAAAGTTTACTTTTGTAGGTTATGTATGAAGGTCACAGTTAAATTTAATTTTGTATTGTAGGTTGTGTTCCACCTTCAGACAGCATGTTTGTTCCACAATCAGACACTGTCTGAATGTGGAACACAACGCTTGTTTGGAGGTTGTTGAAAAAGTAATTGTTTTTGTAAAAATTTAATTTATATTTCAGGAAAAATGGCTCGAGGACGTCAGCGAAAAAGTGGTAAAGGGCAATTTGATGAACAATCCATGAGAGCTGCTGTTAGAGCAGTCACCGAAGAGAAGATATCTAAAAAGGCAAAAACAGAATCCCACCAAAGAGATTAAAATGGCTCCAAATTATGCTTGTAGAAAAGTTTTTTCTGAAAATCAAGAAAAAGCCCTAGCCGATTACGTATTAACTTGCTCAAAAATGTGTTACGGACAAACGGTCATTAATACCAGAAAACTGGCTTATGAAATGGCAAATAATAATTGTAAAATTCCGGAAAATTGGCAAACAAACAAGGAAGCTGGACGCGAATGGTTCCTTGGATTTATGTCCAGACATGCAGAATTAAGTCTTCGCCAGCCGGAAGGATGTAGCCTCTCCAGAGCGACATCATTCAACAAACACAATGTTGGACTTTTTTTTCAAAAATTTGGAAAAAGTGTTTCAGAACCATGGAAATTTTTGCAGCGGTATAAGAATTTATAATTTAGATGAAACTGCCACCACAACCGTCCAAAAACCGCAAAAGATTGTTGCTCAGAGAGGGATCAAGCAGGTCTCTTCCTGTACGAGCGCCAAACGAGGTTTACTGGTCACCACTTGTTGTGTTATATCAGCATCCGGGAATACAATACCACCAGTCATGATTTTTCCACGAAAAAAGTTTAATCCTCGAATGACTTATGGAGCACTGCATGGTACTTTGGGATTGGTTTCCGATTATGGATGAATGACTCGTGAATTGTTTCCAAGCGTTGTAAGGCACTTCATTAAACATAAGTCCAGCACAAAAGAAAACCCTTCTCTCTTAATTTTTGACAATCACGAGAGTCATCTAACGATAGAAGGAATAAATCTAGCCAAGGAAAATGGAGTGATCATTTTGACCTTACCGCCACATACTTCCAACAAGCTGCAACCATTAGATGTCTCGGTGTTTTTTTCGTTAAAATCATTCTACAATACTGCCTTACAAACATGGCTTTTAGAGCACCCTGGGATACCTGTTTCTATTTTTGATATCGTTGGCTGTGTTGCTTATGCATTTGAAAAATCGATGACGCCCGGTAATATCAAATCCGGATTTCGAAAAACTGGGATTTATCCCTTCGATAAATTCATATTTGCAGATGACGACTTTGCAATTAGCAGCGTTATAACTGATAGGAATGGGGATCAAAACAATGAAGAAGCTCAACGACTTATGGATCCAAATCAACCATCAACATCAAGATGCATTGAAGAAAATATGTCAGACTCCTTAGTTTCAGTAACAGTTAGTTTAAACACAACACCTACACAAAATCACAAAGAAACTTTCGTAAGTCCACAACAATTTAAAGGATACCCAAAAGCTGATGAACGAAAAAATCAGAGAAAGAAGAGAGAAAAAGCTAAAGGTATTATCGCCACGGACACTCCAGAAAAGATCGCCCTAGAAGCTAAACAAATGGAGCGAGAAAGAAAAAAAAGTGTTAAGAAGAATAAGGTCGTGAAAAGAAAAGTAATGGATGAAGACTCAACAGACGAAGAAAATGAAGACACGGCGATGCTTGTAACCGAAAGTTCCGATGATGATATTGATTTTGTAGGAGAAATCGATCCACCACCACTTCTAGATAAGCTTAATAAAGAACCAGAAGTTGGCGATTTTGTTTTAATAGAATTTATGGACAAAAAGAAAAAAAATTATTACATAGCTGAAGTGTTCTGTAAAAAGAATAAGGAATGCGAGGTCAAATTTTTGAGAAAGTCCGTTAAGTATAATAACAGCTTCATTTACCCGAAATAGAAGGCGTCTCATTGGTATGTTTGGAAAACATTAAGATGGTGTTACCAAAACCAGCACATGTGGGAACAACAAAGCGGCAACAATCTTATTTGAAGTTTGAAGTAAATTTTTCAGCTTTAGAAGTTCGTTAAAACATTATTACCTTTTGTCTTATTGTGGAACATGCAGTGTCTGGATGTGGAACATGTGTGTTCCACTATCAGACAACTGTCCTTCTTTTGTTAAACAAAATTTTTTTAAATTAGTTTTTGGTTTATGATGTTTGTTCTACCATAAAAACTTATGTTTAGCCTTAATTTATTTTAGTGATAATCATATTTTGGTTAGTTCAATAAACAAGGTCAATACTTAGCAAAATCTATTTTGTGTCTGATTGTGGAACACTCTCCCCTAAAGAAAAAACTGAAACTTCCCAGTTCCAGTATCAAAAGAAACATAGTTTGATTAGTGGCATATTTTAAATGTGTCAAATGTGTAGACCTGTCAGCCGGTCAGTTGGAAACTTATTTAAAGGATCATGGATATTGCCGGGAGTATAACCTACTGTCTGGCTTTTATAGATTATGAAAAATCTTTTGATAGTGTAGAACTATGGGCAATAGAAGAAGCATTAGTCAACAACCGGATGGACTCCAGGTACAGAATATTAATACATAATATTTACGAACAAGCTGAAATGATAGTGACGTTGGGTAATGTTTATAGTGACAGGGATAGGGACAGTCCTTAAAAAAGGACTAAAAATGAATTTCAGCAAAACTAAACTAATGTCAAACAGAGATGACAAACCTATGATAAACATCCAAGGGACAGATATAGAACACGTAGATGAATATACATATCTGGGTAAAAATGTCAAGGTAGGCAAAGAAAATCAGACTACCGAAATAAGCAGAAGTGTAAAAATGGGATGGGCAGCATTTGGAAGACTTTCATATGTACTTAAAAAAAATATACCTCAAACACTGCAAGCAAAAGTGTTTAATTCTTGTATCCTACCTATACTTACATATGGAGCTCAAACCTGGACATTCACTAAAATATAGATGGAGAAGATCAGAAAAACTCAGAGAGCTATGGAACGACAGATGCTGGGTATCTCACTCAAAGACCATAAAACCAATGAAGACATTCGTAATAGAACAAAAGTAAAAGATGTTGTCGAACAGGCAGCTAAACTGAAATGGAAATGGGCTGGACTTAACGAACGTCTTAAGGATGGCCGATGGAATAAAGAAATCGGGAATTGGCGGCCATATGAAGCCACAAGACCACGAGGAAGACCGCAAATGCGACATGCTGGAGCGACGATATTAAAAGAACTGCAGGACCAATGTGGAAACGTCCCACAAATAACAGAGATGAATGGCGAGAATTAGGAGAGGCCTATATTCGGCAATCCGAATAGGGAGAAGGGCTTAAAAAAATAACCTACGAAGGAAGAACAACTTAAGTGGACTTTACAAACCTAATAATGAGAGAAGTGGAAGAAGAAATGCATATACAAACACAGTATGTAATTTTATAGTCTATTTTCTCTTATATATGCGTTGTTGTTTTTATCCTTTAATAGCTAAATGGTAGTCTTCAAAGTCTTATTTTAATATTTACTTTTTAGTAAAGTTTAGTTACGTTTTAGTATTATAAATTATAAAACTGGTATTTAGCAAGGTATATAATTCCTAATGTTCTTCAAAAAAAAAGTCTGCTTATTTTTTAAAGTATTTTTTAGTCTGGTTATATTGACCTTCGTTGTATGTTATTTATATTGTTAAACAGTACTTATATGAAACTCTTAAATCATTTGATCATTCTGTTATTTTTTACTTTATCAAATTTTTGCAATAATAGCCAAACAAAGAAAAGAAGATTATAATCACTATAACATCTACTTGATTATTTATTAATGAGAAATATACAATAGGATAGTCTTACAACTTTTTCTGCTTGAAAAAGTCTAGGGTAAAAGTAGAGCAGTAAGAAAATGAATATAATTTCTGTATCTTGATGTTTCACATCAAAGTTAAGAAGAAATCGTATGAAACTTCTTAGAGAAATTACATTTTGATAATGGCGGTAATAATTTGTACAATGAGCTTATCTTATTATGCTGTATAGTAAATATATCGTTATTTAATGTAAATTTTTTATACACTTCATTTCAATTATTCACCAATTGGTTCTATAAAAAATACAACAAGCAATGCAGGGAACATATTATAATAAAAGTAACGGATTGTCCTAAGGAAATTAAAATTTGTAGATAAAGATAATAAAATCAATTATTATTGTGTAATTTTCTGAAATAATCCTACATTTGGATTCTATCCCATTCTACAGACGGCGCTCATGTGCTTCCTGTGTAAACATTATTTCAATGGACTACCTGGATTTTAAAAACCTTTCCAAACATTTCTAATTTGTGCATATTTGTTCCAAAATAAGTTGGAAATATTGCTTTTTTTTACCTATTTAAAGAATAAATGAGGACTTTTGGTTATGAACATTCATTCTATTCGATTGGTATTATTTATTGTTCTTGAATTTGCGAGGTAAGAATATCAAGTATTAAAATATTTACTATGAATGTTTATATTTTACGGTTATGTTATTGTATGATTAAAACTTTTTTTATTTTTTTACTGTATTTCAAGATATTCTGTTGTTGTTTTTATGAGGATTATTTCAAAATAAATCAATAAATCATTGAATTTATTTACGAAATTAATAGTACATTGTTTACCGGGTAGGAAAAGCTTAACATTCCTGGACGACTGTGAAGATTGCTAAGTCGAGGCGCAAGCCGAGACTTAGCGACACAGAGTCCAGGAATGTGGCTTTTCCTACGAGGTAAACATACTATTTTTCCGCAAATCGTTTAAAATTCGACAGATATTGATTGATTTAAAAAAAAACGCGATAATTTTATTCCCAAATAAATGGTGCTTTGAAATTCCTAATAAAATTACTTGGGTTACTATGGAAACGTATTGAGGTTGAATTGTCAAACTTGACGCTTATAAATTTAATTGCTGGTGTTCTCGAAAGTAAAATGATAAGTGATGATGAAATTTCCATTCCTGGGACTCCTCCAGAGCTGGTTGTGGCAGTGAATACTGCTTCATTAGAATTATTGCCAAAGAAATCAAGAGAAAAGTACGAAAATGCATACAGACGTTTTATGGATTATCGCATGAGTAAAAATACGAGTTCTTTCTCAGAAAATGTTGTAATGGCATACTTCCTAGACCTTTGTTTAAAGATGAAAACTTCGTTCTTTATTGAAACGGCAAGCTCACGGTTATAGGGCAAAGAAATCTAAGATTTTAACGAAGGAAGAAATTGAAAAATTTATCCAGGAAGCTCCAGATAAAGAAAATTTAATGATTAAGGTAATTTACAAGGTTTTAATTTCTATTTAGATTATAGCTTTATTTATTTTTTAGGTGGCTGTAATATTTGGTATTTCTGGGGCCTGTAGAATGGATGAGTTAGTCCGAATGACTGTACACGATATAGAAGACTTTAAATCTAAGCTTTTAATCAGCATACCTGATTCGAAAACCAACAAACCAAGATCATTTGTAATTAATCAGATCTACTTGAATGTTTATCGAAAGTATGTTTCGTTAAGACCAGAAAATATGAACAGTGACCGATTTTTCTTTAAATATCAAAGCGGAAAGGGTTGTAG